GGTAATCTCAATACCGTCTGGGACCACTTACGTCGTGACACTCCGATGTTTTTTGGGTTTTTGGAGGAAGTTACGATGGTTCCGTTTATTACCTCTTATATTTGGCATCTGTCATTGACACCCGCGATATGTTTCATTATATAACAAACACGACCAATTTTAGCACAAATTCTCTTTGGTTGCTTACTTTCTGTCTATTGTTACAATCGTCTGTATACAACGTCCCTTGATGTCTTTAGTTAGGTATGACCGCACTGACATTTGTAGTTCCCAATTTATTTATTTTTAACATACACAAAGCTCCTTTAAAGTTTATAACGGCTATATATCAATAGTACTAGCGCTTATAATCAGTCATTTATAGCGCGGTAGGGTGCCGAAGGTACAGTGCGATGGAGTTCTCGTTGAGTAATCCCACAACGACAGTCTTTCAGCGACAAGGCCAACCGGCGTCCACTTGTTGGGGACGTCCTTCACGCGGCCATGGGGTTGGTCGCATGTCTGGCTCTGCAGTCAGGAGTCAAGTCTATGACGGACCTTTTGTGGTCTTGAATGGGAACTCAAAAGTAAGTGCGGGGCACTACATCGTACCATCGGAATCGGCGCTACGGCTCGTGTTCAACCGGAATCGACCTATGCACAGTATAACATTGACCAAATCGCTCATGTGCCAGGCACTGCGTTAACCTTTTTACGGCAAAGCACTGTAAATTCACCGCATCTCTTTACACCATCTACTTTTCTTCTCAATTAGGTTCCAATTATTCCTTCATAATGTGTCACTTAGTAATGTTTCACGGATCGGTCCGTTATCACAATAGTACATTTTTCGTAACAACACCATTGCTTCGGTGTAACGTTCCGAGTAACTTTTCAGTATTAATACTTCTTGGTGACATAAACAGACCATTATAAACTTCGAATATTCCCTTCCTGACATTTTCATTTGTACACTTACTGTGTTCGTCTCATCACATTTGTACTATTCCATTATATAGTGTTTATGTTATTACGTATTCACTATTAAGTTTTAAGTTCATCAAATAACAAATTAATATAAGGATATTACACGAACTCTTTGTATTCCTTGTACATAAAACTCTCTTTTTATATAAATTCTACGCTCATTTCGTCTCGTAGGGTTGATTGCCCACTGGCACAGGGTCCAGAGTCGGGGCAGAGTCTAGGGTTAGGACTTGGCATTTGTATGCGGTGGTGTATGTGGTTCCGTTTACTGAACAACCATTTTGTATGAAACGCGTTATTTCGAAAGACTACGACCTAAACCCTTATTTCTTTCTTATGTAAGGGTCGAGTGGGACTAGCCATCCACAGGAAGCCTCTTACACCTCCTCCCGACCGGCAGGCCCGGCTTCTCCGTTACGTCGTGTCAGGGAACCAAGGGTGTCGTCCACCGGTCCTCGGAGGGTCTCCCGTAGAGGTTTTGTGGACCTCTTCCTTTTTCTTCATTGTAGTAGTACTCCGACTAAGTTTCATTGTAGTCGTACGGATTGTACGACTATCGTACAAACTGTACAAGTGTGTTGCTTAAGTCACACTATCTCTGTCAGTAATGTAAGGGGACTAGTTCTAATTGACACAATACCAATAATTAGTGTGACAAGGGTAATTGTACGAAAAAGGAGAATAAAATATAATGGCTATAAACAATTTACAAGTAATGAACACACATAAGTAGTACACTGAGACACCAACGGAGATATTACAAGACCGATTTGTGCTTATTGAACCCTATTATAGAATAGATAATAGAACTATTGTCCGTTGTATACGTTAATTGTTTCGTACCACTAATGTAGAGTACCACGTCTATGAAACCAGTCCCCCCCCCCCCACTTTTTTTTTAGATTTTACGATTTTACTATTAAAATGGTTTTATTACCGCACTCTAGACACATGAGCGTTAATTAACGGCGTCGACTAAGTAAATCCCTATGAAATTGTTTCTCTTTATCAACTTTAAAGTACTTCCGTATTTTATTTCCTGCTATTTTTTTTAGACACCCAAGGTGACACCTCGTCGTTTGTAAGTATGTATTTATAGTATTCGTTTTTTTAGATATCTATCATATAAGTATCTATAAAAATCAACCAACACAATGGGGCCAACACGTGTATGTGAATATCATACCCATACGGGGAAACTTTCTATGGAGAACCGGGTTGTTTACATTTTGGTATGTGACTTTTAATTAAATGACTGGTTCTTTAAGTGTGTTTAGTGTTCAGAGATCTTAGATACAACGGTTTCTCTGTGGTCCCCTCCTTTCTTTAGGACTTTGCAATGGTTTATTGCTGTTTGTAAAACGTCTACTCTCGCTTCCGACGACGACCGGCTACCGCTGGTGGAGTTGTTTG